ATCAAGCCACATACGAGCTCGTCAGAGAATACATCGAAATTTCACCAACAGCAGCTGTTTTGCTCCCTCTAGTTGCCTATGACATGTGTGATGACACTGATGAAGTTGCATTCTGTGAGCCATCAATCAATTTCCTCAGTCGGAAACCCCTTCTCCTCCGCCCCGCTGCGGTGGTCCAGTGGCTAACGTACTCGGCTGCTGGCCAGCAGGCCGCGGGATCAAATCGCGGCTGCGGTGGCTGCGTTTCCGATGGAGGCGGAAATGTTGTAGACTCGTGTGCTCATATTTGGGCGCACGTTGAAGAACCCCAGGTGGTCGAAATTTTCGGAGCCCTCTACTACAGCGTCTCTCATAAACATATGGTGGTTTTGGGACGTTAAACCCCACATATCAATCAAACCAACTCTCCTCCCTTATTTGACCTCTCTATTTCGAATGCAGCCAGAGCTTTCTGCCTCACCAATCCCTTTCCGTATCCCGTCAACTATTTGAAGGTGAATCTCTAGGATGCGCGTAGCCCATTAATAAGGGACAAATGTTTACCGTTCTGTGAGAATCATCCTGATGTGACCTCGACGCCATCAGTGCCCTTAACTACTCTGATGTACCAGGTTCCAAAGAATTCGATTCAACGATCGCAGACTGACTGCATCTGAACGATCCAGCTCCAGCTCCTGTACAATTTTCTAGAATCTTTTGATGTTGCTTAACCTGGTCTTGGCCGCACTTCTACCACTCTTCATTTCATAGACACCGCCTTCCATGCACCAGTGCGGCAACGACCATACCGTGTTTCAGTGGTAGAACACCACGTCAATATGAAGCAGATTCACAGTATGCTGCAACGGGACGTGATTCGACCTCCACAATGTCCATGGGACTCACCTGTAGTGCACGTTAAAAAAAGATGGTTCTATTCGCTTCTGCGTGGATTACCGGCGCCTGAACAAGATCAATTGAGAAGACATGTATCCTAAACTCATGATTGACGATGTCATTGATGTATACTTTACATGGTGCCGAGTTTTTAATTGTGAGGTTTGCGTTCAGGGTACTGGTAGGTGCCCCTAGCAGATGCTGGTTGACAAAACCAGTGTTTGTAACACCCGACGGTCTATGTTAATTTAATTTCATGCCCTTCAGTCTCTGCAATGCACCTGCCGCCTTCGAACGCATGCTGGATTAGGATTTTTTGGGTTCGAAGTGGCAAACGTGTCTCTGCTATCTTTACAATATTGTCGTCTTTGTGCCAGGCTTTGCAACACATCTCGATCACCTTAAACACGGCCTCACTTGCCCGAGGAATGCTCATAACCAACTCAACCTTAAAAAGTGCTACTTCACTGCCCGGCCATTTACGATTCTCGTTGTCGTCGTATTCAAGGAGGGTACACTTCCAGACCCGGCTAAATTACAGACTGTCACCTACTTCCCCAAATCAACGACTGTGAGGCAGTTACGGAGCTTCTAAGGGCTATGCTCCTATTTCATTGGTTTGTGCGCAACTTCGCATCTATTGCAGTAACACAGATAATTGGGCTAGCTCTTGGTATGCAATTTCATGTTTTAGTGTCCCTGTCTGTGCACGCACCCTTATTCAGTTAAAGATTCGCCTTCATTTTGCGCCTTTGACCTAACGTTTGGGCAGCGCCACCCATAATTCGTCATGGTCTTCTGAGCGTGACGAAGCCCTATCTACACCTTTTGCCGTCTCCTGAATTCACCTCCAATACTGCGTCCCTACAATTATGCGGTGGCAAGTGGCGTCCACACCGACGACAGCGGTGTCAGCTTTGGTGTGGTTCTCGCGCAACAAAAGCCTGGATTCACCGAATATGTCGTAACATAGGCCAGCAGCACTTTCGCCAAGACTGAGTCGAACTTAGTGTTACGGGGAAAGAATGCTTGGTGATCGTTTGAACGCTGGTGAAAATCTCGCATAACTTTACGGTCGTACTTATGAAGTATTAACCAACCAACACACATTACGCTGAATGTCTTCTCTGAAAAATTGATCGAGTCGTCTGGCCCGTTGGGGCATTCGGCTTTGAAGGGGCCCTGCAATACTTTTTGAGCATGGTCAGAAAACGCTTCTAATCGGTAGTAGAGGCTCCCGACAATACGACTGAGTGTGCCCAGTCGTTACAAGGATCGCCGTGGGAGGCCGTGACTTGTGCACGCGTGCGCGCGCAGTCCCACTAAACAAAACCGCGTATCCGAAGGAAAAGAAAACAGTGCTAAAGGTTGCGAGTCGCGAATGACGCATTTTCTTTGTTCTTACTATCCCTCCCTGTTTGTATTGAAGCGCTTTTGTCCGGACAAGAAAAGAGACAATGTAATAGCAGCGTGTGACAAATCTTTGTAACTCCGCTCATACTGGACACATTCCGAAAATTTTTACGGCGTTGAATTCGTGAGGCCATAAGCTTTTTTAGTGAATTAATTTCGTAGTACTTGAAGAAGTGTTTCAGAGCCCCTTTAGGAATATGACATTCGCTTTACACACCGTTCCGGCCACAAGCATGCCGATGCTGGTCCACTGTCGCGGTCCGCACTATGCTCACGCATCGATCGATTCCCCAGAGCACATGTTGTTAGCTCTTGACGTGCACACCATCTCTTCTTCACAACGCAATAATCCATGAATAGCTTCGATTCTTGATGCGTTACCTGAGACACCCACACTTCCAAGCACACGAACACTGTAACGCCAGGCTCCGCACTTCATTATTAGTGATGACCATTTGTACCGGTGCAACTACACACCAGATGGTAGGAAGGCGCTACGTCACTCCCCTAACGCTGCGCTCTACAATCTGCGCGTCGTTTTATTCCGGCCCGCAATTTGCTCACACCGGTGCCTTCAATACCTACGGGTGCCTACGCGTAAAGTGTATTACTGGAGTGGAATGTTCACCTTCGTCCGCCAGTTTATTCGCGGCTGCCACGAGTGTCAGCGGCAGAAAAACCTGTCACATCCTGCAGCAGGTTCATTGCAGCCATTCCATGACCAGGCCGCCCATTCTACTACGTTAAAATTCACCTCTATGCACCACTGCTATTGACAATGGCAGGCAACCGATGGATTATCGCAGTTGTAAAACATAATTGTATTGTGGTAACAGCTCCACAACGGTAGGAAGAGCAAAAATAGACCGGAAACACTCTTCAGTTGACAGTGAGCGATCTCTACTATCCATTTTGTCTCTTCCTACCGTAGTCGCACCATTATTACAATACAGCCACGATGAACCAACACACCCAAATTAAGATCTTGCTGTTGCGAAGCATCTTAAACGGTACGCCGAAACTGCTGCTCTTCCCACAGTGACATCAGAAGACGTCGTATCTTTCATCATCAATCGTTGTTTGCTTCGTCATGGTCCTCCTTGCCGACTCCTCAGTGACCGCGGGCGTGTATTTCTGATTGATGATTGATTGATTTGTGGGGTTTAACGTCCCAAAACCACTGTATGATTATGAGAGACGCCGTAGTAGAGGACTCCGGAAATTTTGACCACCTGTGGTTCTTTAACGTGCACCCAAATCGAAGCACACGGGCCTACAACATTTCCGCCTCCATCGGAAATGCAGCCACCGCAGCCGGGATTCGATCCCGCGACCTGCGGGTCAGCAGCCGAGTACCTTAGCCACTAGACCACCGCGGCGGGGCCGGGCGTGTATTTCCCTCAAGTGAAATCCAAGCATTTCTTCAACAGTGCCATATTGTACACTGGAAGAGTTCAGCCTACCACCCTGAGACAACCGGTTTCCCTGAGCTGTATAATCGTAATCTGGGTGACGTGCTCACGACACATATCACTTTTGATCAAACTGAGACCTCGTTCTTGTATTTGTGACCTACGCGTATAGCACCGCTACGCAAGTCACTACCGGGCTTTCCCCGTTTTTTTTTCTTCTGTATGGTTGCCAGTCATTGCACACCGTCGACTCTTTGCTGCCACATACACCAGATCCCTCTGAGGCATGCCTGTCTCGTAAGCCACCCGTTATGCAGAAGAGTGCCGCAAGCTTACCAAGGGTCTTACTACAGCTGACCAACATCACCAGAAGAATACCCGTGACGATTACCATACTCCTTAAGCAGCAGCAACGTTCGTTCCTGGGGCACTTGTATCGCTGCATTTACTGCTCAGCACTCCTGGGTTATCCCTCAAGCTATTGTCCAATTATAATGGTCCCTCCCACGTGGTCGAGCGTACATCACCAGTGAACTAAGCCATTGAACCTCTAACGCCACTGAGCGACCGTCGTCGGCGTGGACGTGATATCGCTCACGTAGACCACCTCAAGCCGTACTTCAGCCCGCTTGTGCCCACCTGTTAGATTGGCAGGATAGCTTCATCTTTTTCACGGGGTACTAATAATGTAGAAAGGAAGACGTTGATATGATTGGTTGAGCTGTCATCACCATGAGACGAAGGCACAAGATTGGCAGTTCAGCGTCATCATATTGGTCCGTCTGCATACTTTTCGACATACCACCCGCGTGCTCGGGTCACTCACTAAAACCCCTTTACAATAGTAAAAACACCCACATCAGATAGAATTGTTACTAACGGAAAAGGGATTACCAAGATGCGATGAATACCATGGACCATTACCTTTAATGCAGATTTCGATAGCACTCTCACATACCGAAAACACAAACACTTCTGCGTATTTCATAAGTTAAACATACAACTTCACCCAATATTGCCTTTAGCATATCATCCACCGGTACCTCTCGTTGACACGGTAAACTGTTTATACAAAACAAATTTGTTTTAGAATGAGAGTTATTATTCTTCAATGCATGTTGCATTTTCCGGTGAAATTTTATCACATCATGGGCACATCATAGCTGGCACATCATAGCCTGAACAGACTTTTCCCCATTGAGCCCAATTTAACTGTCTCACGTGTACACATCAGTCGTTCTAATACAAAGCAACAAATGCTATGACCGCAAGATGTACAATATGTTTTTTTTCCCGCAGGTCAGAAGTTTGCCATCACAGAAGAAAAAGTCATAGTGGCCACAGTGCTCAGACACTTCCGCATAATGTCCCTTGACCACCGGGACAGACTGATACTTTCTCCACAACCCATTCTTCATCCGCGATCGGTGTTCGGAGGCATCAGGGTGAAGTTTATACCAAGGCGACCACTACGACTTCAAAACGCGTGATAAGCTGACTGAAGTGAACACAGCAATAAAACGTTTTCGTACTTGATGGATGGTTTCGTTGGAGCTTCAAACTCATTTCAAGAGCTTGTAAGAAGGCGTGACGAGGTTGGTAGGCTTGAGAGATACTGAATAAATCTGCACTGCAAGTTGCATTTCGAAAACATCATTATCTCACCGTCTGAGGAGGGCTGGTAACACACGGAAAAAGAAATGAAAAGACTCTCGGCGGTACACTCTTGAGATTCCCATAGCTTCACTGGACCAATGATAGGAATTTTGAGGTTGCATATTTATGGAAAATAAACATTTTCTGAGACAAGAACGTCTCGGTTGAGTAACAGTGTACACAAACTTACACTGAATATCAGGCATATAAGAGTTTCGCTGTGCACGCGAAGAGCAAGAAGCCCTCGACCCATAAACTTTCATAGTTTTGTAACTATAGCGGGCAATCTGGCACTGCCATAGTTCAACCATGATGGGTTGTCCAAAGTTCTTCCTTTGCTGTGTTCTTGCAGACTCTTGATAGGACCTACGTTCTAGATTATTTTATACGCGAGTTCATCTCTTTACTACCCTTTTTATCCCGTGGAGCAACAGCGAACTGTAGGTATACAGTGAAGCTAACATGTGCCTTCAACGCAGACGTTTCTTTTATGCTTTGTGGTTAATTCTCAAAAAACAATAATAATAATAACGGTTGCGGCGGCTGCAATTTCGATGGAGGTGGAAATGCTGTAGGCGCGTGTGCTCAAATTTGCATGCCCGTTAAAAAAAACCCGGATGGTCGAAATTTCCGGAGCCCTCCACTACGGCGTCTCTCATCATCATATGGTGGCTTTGGGATGTTAAACCTTAGTATAATTCAATCATATTAACAATAACAAATACATTTGGAAGCTGCATAACTACGAAGATCGATATTGAGTATGCCAGAAACAGTACGCGCGTGCCACTGTGTATACCCGAAGAACCACCGGCATTTATCGCTGAACTAGTCGCACTACGAGATGGCATCAACTGAGGGACTGGTTTTTATTGAAACCACTGATCATACGAAGCCCGTCCTACGTCTTTGGCTCCACCAAAGCAATTCACGACATCCAGGTAGCCTGATCCATGGCATTTTCAGACCTCACCAATCAGACAGTGCGAAATGTAGATACACTGATACCTATCGAGTGGTTCGCATGCGGAACAGCATCTAGCCAGTCAGTATCTCTTTCAGTCGCTCTGCAGCCATAGCAGGCCCCCGTCGGTCACAGTCACTGTATAGAACGATCCATATACAGTAACTCTAACAGTGGTCGCAATAGCCTACAGGAGTTCCGCGGTTAAACTTCTACATGTCACTCTACGGTGCACCTACACAAGTACTGAAGGAAATAGACACAGAATAGCTGCCATAGAAGGGCAAGTGGTTGTGCATCACAACCCCAGTGTGCGGAGGTTGTCGGCCTCGCTTCCTCCAGTGGCAAGCTGTTTAAATGTTCTAATTTCAACCTCTTAGTGGCTCAGAGTTACAACGCTTTACCTAAAATACAAATGGTGCTCTTTACGCATACCTTGACTTCATTACGTAGTTGGCTCAATATGGTTCTGCCCATGGAAAAATACAGCCGCTCGCCAACACTGCTCAATCCCTTAGACTTGGTCACTTCGACTTGCATAACCTTTTGTATCTTGTAGAGTTAATTTATGTGGACAAAACATATACCAGTGAAGTGGGATCAGGCTTGCCAATGCTTTGCCTGAAAACTCAATTTTAAATGCTGGCATAACTTCGGCGTTTCATGCGTCCTCTTCTGCGAACAAACTGTGGTACATGCACAAAGAACAATGGCGTTCTCTTTGTGTCACCTATATGGCTACGCTTTTTAGGAAGGAAGAAGATTATGGTCGAGGCTTGTCCGTTGGCGTTAGCGTTGGCGTTGTGGGCCATAGTCGCCGCTGAAGATGACAATGATAACTATGAATAACAAGCGCGTTCGAGACAACACATTTTTTTCTAATTTATTAATGTGTGTAGTTTAACGTCCCAAAACCCCCATATGATTATGAGAGACGTTATGGTGGAGGGATCCGGAAATTTGCACCACCTGGCATTCTTTAACGCACACCCGAATATGAGCACACGGACCTACAGCATTTTTGCCTCCGTCCAAACTGCAGCCGCCGCAGCTGGGGTTCGAACCCGTGACCTGCGGGTCAGCAGCTGAGTACCTTAGCCACTAGACGATCGCGGCGAGGCCACAACAACCAAGAGAACGGGCTCAGACCTCGTCTTTGCCAACAATGGGCTAGATCCGATGCCACAAAGCAGGAATATTGAAGGTAAAATGAAATGCACAACTGAAGAAAACATACCAGTTGAGACCTATAAACATTTATATAGCAGTGCACTACTTAGCGCTCATTTACAAGCGTGAGTGGTCATTGTCCCGGGTGATTTACAGTAACACCGAACGATCCCTCTGCTTCACTCACTCATCAGTCATTCCCTTCGTTCATATGCTGTGAATTTTAATGAGTAAAGTTTCAGTTAGTAATCGATTTTGAATTATTTGGCTTTATTTGACAAAGTGCCGGACTCGCTTTGTTTTAGTGTGAGTTTCATTGCATTCTGAGGGACCAAACTTTTGTATGTAGAGATATCGCTGCGGCTTCAATGTTTCTGGGCACCAGGCATGCCAAGTTCATGTAGGAACTTGAGAGAACGCCGCATGCTCAGTAGCACCGTTTTGCAGCTATGTGGCTCAGCACAAGCGCTATGTATTTGTAATATAGCTAAATACACGTTTTAGAAGTTATATTTAGAATTTAACTGCTTCATTAGGGACATCGATTGAGTCACGACAAAATGCATGCCGTAATTTTCAAGTTAACAAGGAGGAAATGTTTTAGTTTGGAGAGCACCGATAATTATCATGTCGAGGCAGAGCCATAAACTAGTGAAGGACGCTTGAGCAATGCTACTGGTGTTGATCAGTGTATTCTATTTGAACGTAACCATGGACACAATTGTATAATGATGGTACAGACCGATAAATATAATAACGAACACGTTGAATCAGAACACGTGAACAAGCTAATGAATTTTTAATGGTGATAGCTATATGACGATGATATTGTTGAACTTGTGGATGAACCCGTTGATGATGGCGTTATGAATGATGATGGGGAAAGAGTTCAATCAATCGTCAGCAGGCGACCACGTGAGCATTTATGAAGATATTCATGTTGATAATATTATGTGTGAGCGAGTTGAACTTATGATAGAGGCGTTGATTATGTTAATTACTGATGTAATAGTAACTATTTCTTTGAAAGAGACCCGTTAGCAAGCGCATTTCCATGTACGACGAAGAAGGATGGTCAACCTTGCGTCCACAAATGCGGATACTTGTTTTCTTTTGGAAATAAACCTACATTTCCCAGGGTTCCCGTTTATTCGCACATGCGTGTGAATCATTATTGCACGTACGCCAAAAATATTGTTACGGGAGGGCACACAGAGAAACTAGGTTACAGCTAAGATATATTTGCACGACACCAAGCCTAAGCTGAGATGGCAAGCGAGAGCGTGCCCCCATTCCAGAATCACGCCGTATTTCTCACTGTCTGTCTTGATTCTTCAGCGTGATGTAGTCTTGTAACATGACCCCCGGGTGCAGAAGCACCGCCTCGGTGCTTTCTATGGTGTTGTGGAGTGGTAGAGCTTAAGTCGGGAGACATGACATGTCTGTAGACAATGGAGTGAGGGGAGATGACTTCAGCGGGGCTATCTCGCAGGTAACGTCAGTCACCTGGCGCAAGACGTGGTAGGGTCCTGAGTACCGGGAAAGCAGCTTCCCAGAGAGACCAACATGCCGAGTAGGTGTCCACAACAACACAATGGAACCCGGGGCAAAGGAGACGTCACGATGATGTGCGTCGTAAAGTTGCTTCTGTTGCTCTTGCGATACTAAGGTGCGCTTCCGAGCGACTTCTCGTGCTTTGCGAGCTCTGGTAGTTCAGTCGGCGAATCGACAGCTGTCGGAAAGATGATGTCGAAAGGTGGAGTTGGGTCGCGGCCAAATAACAAATAGAATGGTGAAAACCCAGCGGTATCATGGCGTGAGGAATTGTATGCAAATGTGACCAATGACAATGCAACGTCCCAGTCTAGGTGGTCAGAGGAGACGTGCATAGAGCGCATGTCAGTTAAAGTCAGTTTGAATCGTTCGGTACGCCCATTAGTTTGTGGATGGTAGGCAGTCGTAAATTTATCTTTGGTTTCGCAAGAGCGAAGCAAGTCGTCAATAGCTCGGTGAGAAAATAGCGTCCACGATCTGTGAGGAGTTGGCATGGAGCACCATGATGGAGGATGACATCGTACAGAAGGAAATCGGCAACATCTGAGGCACAGCTGGCTGGAAAAGCCCGCGTGATGGCGTACCGGGTTGTAAGAGCCGTAGCGACAGCTATCCATTTGTTTCCTGAGATAGACTGAGGAAAGGGCGTGGGAGATCAAGACCAACTCGAAAGAAAGGGTCAATAGGAAGATCAAGTAGCTGGAGGAGTCCGGCAGGACTCATAGGGGTTGGCACTGGTCGCATGCGACAACGTAACGGTGCACGGAGTTATAAAGCCTGGGCCAGGAAAATCGACGCTGAACGCGGTCGTAAGTCCGAGAGAGATCAAGGTGACTGGCGGGGGGGGGGGGGGGGGGGGGCGTCATGGAGCTGGGCGATAACACTCGAACGTAGGTGAGAAGGCACCACAAGGAGCAGTTCGCGCCCATTTGTGTTGCCATTGTAGCGGTACAAGGTGCCGTGTTTACGTACAAACAATCGAGTAGACGGCTGGGGCGTTGGAGAGTTCAGTTTTTCAATAATGTCACGCAAGATGGGATCCCGGCGCTGTTCATCACGTATGTTGCTCAAAGCAGAGAGAGGGAGAGCACACATGGTGGCGCTTCTTCTAGTCTTAGGAGGGTCCACTGGATGGCGGGCAAGCAGTCAGCGTCATGGTTTAAACGGCCAGATTTGTAAGACACTGAGTAGT